AGGCGAGAAAGTTAGTTTTGTCATTTTTTATCCTTATTTTGGTAATAATTTAGCATTATCTCTGAAGGTTACTGCTATATTGGTTGCTGTTTCAGATTTGCGATCATTTACTGGCCAAAGCGGATTTCTCATTTGAAGATTTATTCACGTTATCGCTTGAACTGCATGGATTATTTGAGGAAAGTGTGGCCATCTCGAAACTGTTTTTAAATCGATTAAAGGTTGGATTCATTGTCTAGGCCTCTTTGTGTTATTTCATAATGCATATGCTAGCAAGAACTGATGGGCAGTGGCATTTTTCAATTTTATTCTATTATCAATTTTGTGGCATGGAAGTGAGACATGGAATACCATATTAGTAATCAGAGAGGCAAAATTGGGGACCTATGTTTGTTTGTTTGTTGTTTTTTTGTCCAGTGTGTTTATTTGTTTGTTCAAATGTTTGTTTGCTTGTTCAATATGAGAAACTGCCTCCCTACTTTTTTAGCTGAGCATTAGAGATTGTGTTTCTTTTTTTAAATAATTGCTGTAAAATTGATGAATTTTCAAAATTAGTGATAAATTGCAAGAACTGAATAAAAAAGACGCGCGACCTGTAAAATCATAAGTAGAAAGGTCCTCATCAGTGAGAACATCAACGTGAAATTTATCCGAGCAGGGACACACAAGATTTATGAAATCCTAGCCATTTAGTCCAATCAGTACTAGGCTGAGCATAAGATATTTAACATTTGGAAAGAGTCCAAAACCGTTTTGCTGCGCAGGAAGTGTGGAAAACTTAATTTTGCATTTGTTTTATTCCAAAAAATGCAAATTAGAAGCATTTTGCTGTCGATGAGTATATCCGTATCTCAGTAAAGTCCACAGCTGCTTGATCAAAAAGGCCACGATGATTTTTCGGTCTTCTGTTTCTTTGTAAAATTCGAACTTTAAGTAATTCTGATGCACACTTTTTTTTGGTTTATCGAATTTTTGCTTTTCAGCGACATCGATATTTGATTGGAAGTCGTCGATTTGCATTGCTCTGCCTGCTTTCACTATGCAACACAACTCGATATCATGCGTTAAGTATGGCCGAAATGAAGCAGAGTGTGCTGCGCTTGCAGAAGCATTTGGATCGTATGCGAGAAAGTATCTGGATGCGTGATGTTATCGGTGATTGTGATGTGCAA